ATCTATCCCCATATGCACCAGCTATCCAGCCCCATACACACACCTCTGTCTAATCCAGTCCATCTATGTATGCTCAGCAGTTCTCAACCGGGGAGGCCGCCAAGCAGGGCCAGGGTCAGGCTCGCTGGGGCCCAGGGTGGAAGCCGACTCCCCACCGCATGGGACTGAAGCCCGGGGTCCCCTGGGGCTGACGCCGAAGGCTGAGCATTTGCTCTGCTTGCTATCCCGTAAGGTCGTGGTTTTGATAATGCAGAAAACAGTTGTTGTGGCACAAGTGGCCCGTGGCTTGTGTTGGGGGGCGGGCGGGGGGAGGGCTCAGAAAGTAAAAGGGCGCTAGCCACTCATCTATCTGATCCGTCAGTCTATCGACTCCCCAAATACACGCCTCTTTGGATCGGTTCATTTCGCTAGCCCGCCCGCCAGCCCTATGCCCACCTAGCTGTCTCTTTCTTTTCTTCCTTCGCTCTTTCCCTGCGTCCCTCTCGTCCTCCCTCTGTCTCTCCCTCCCTCTTTGCCAGTCTCTGTCCCGCTCCCTCCCCCACCTCCCCTCCCCTTAATGGCACACAATGAATTACATCTCTGGGAAGGAAAGGAGATTTTCATCTTCCTCTAAAGCCCTTGGTTGCTCCTGGATTGGCAGGGGATTTGCTGGGGGACACAGTATTTAATACCATAATTTGCTTCGGATCAGCAGGCCCCAGGCCGGGGTTCCTAAGCAGGCAGGGGGCCTGGCAGGTGGCGAACACCTGTTCTCCTGCCCTTTGCTGGGATTACAAAATGTAGCTACCGGAAGCAGCTGTGAAAGTCCTGGTCATGCAGCTGCAACCAGGAGAGTATGTATCAGGCTTGCCTGGCACGCAGCGCTTCACATCCTGGTTTGTTATTGTAGGGTCTCTCGTGAGCTCTGTGCTGGTTTGTTATTATAGGGTCTTTTGTGAGAACCAGACCTAGCTTGTTATTGGTGGGTTCCTTGTGAACATTGGGAGCTGCGTGCCGGTTTGTTGGGGTAGGGTCAACGGGGAGTGGTGGGGCTATCGACCGGGAGCGTGATAAGGAGAAAGCTGATTGGAGTCACACGGAGCTGAGTCCGCTCTCGCTCGCCCCGGCGTAAATCAAGGGTAGCTTAACTTTTACCTCCCCGCTTCCCCGTCGGAGTCAATGAGGAACACACCTTTGAAAGATAGAGCTCTTTGATTTATTTCTGAACAGACACGCGGCCAAAGACATCGATATGAAAACCTGTTCAAAAGTGGTGCGGCTTATAAAGGACAGCACCGCTAAGGGGCGGGGACAGGGAGGTTCCTCAAAATGGGAGGGCGGGGCTAGAATCCACACACGTCATAGGTTACAACAGTCCTCTTTGGCCTGTACACGATCCCGTCTGCCATTATCCTACAGCGCGTCTATCACAGCACGGTGGTGGCCATCTAGTTCTTGGCAAACCCATTGTTACAGAAGTGGGGCGGTCGTCTTGAACCACAAACCAGGGGTTCACGGAGGGGGCTAGGACACAGTATCTCTTCAACGCTTGGCAGAGGCCACCTTGCGCCGGGCATTTACACACCGGTTGTTGCTAGAAGTTGGGATTTAGGGTGGAAAGGAGATTGGGGAGACTAGTATTTAGCATTGTCTCACAGTTCGCCATCATGTGGCATGGCCACCCTCTTGAATGACCATCCCCATCTTGAGGGGCCACCATCTTGCATGACCATCCCCAGTTTGAATGACCATCCCCGTCTTGAATGACCATCCCCATCTTGAGTGGCCACCATCTTGCATGACCATCCCCAGCTTGAATGACCATCCCCGTCTTGAATGGCCACCCCCATCTTGAGTGGCCACCATCTTGAATGGTGGTCATCATCTCAAATGGCCACCCTCTTGATAATCTCTCTGGTTTTTGCTAGAAGTTGGGGCCAGGGGATAAAGAGAGCTGGAGAGATATAAGGGACTGGTCAGTGGAAGTAATTTAATGCCTCCGTCCATCTTGACAAAGGCCATCTTGCTCTTCACTTTGCTTATGGCTAAAAGTTGAGGGTGGGGGTGGGGGTGGGGGGAAGGTGATGGAGAGTTATCCAGCTAACAAGGGCTTGGCCAAAGGAATTACGACACAATCACGCCTGTCTCTAAAATTTGGGACCAGAGAGAGGAGACGGAGGGGATAAGATTTAAATAGGGGGGATGGAAGGCATTTTTTAGGCCCCAAAGGGTGCTAATTCTACAGTCGGAGGATAGTACCATACATGCTATCTTGGTCAATACGAGAGGCAAAATGGCCGCTGCCCCCCTACACTTGACCATTCTTGGCCTGGTGAGGGGTCCTTCTTCTTGGGCTCATTTTGCCAGGAACAGAAATCCCTGGACAAGGCAGGAATGGGAGATTCTGCTTTGGAGACTAAATAGCTGGAGGAAGCTATTAGTAATGAAATACAGCCAAGTTCCCCGTGAACTGAAACGGAGCCAAAGGTGGCTCCGGGGTCAAGCAGGAGACATCTGGGTAGCGAAAGCCAAGAGGTTGTTGTACTAATACTTTGCAGTCTTGTGTCTGAGGGCTTCAGGCTGGGGCGTTAGCCCGGTTTTAGGGGTGTATGAAGAGGAAGTGGCTTGCCAGAGGTCAGATGGTGAATAGGACCCAGCTCCCCCGCTCTAACCACTAGATGCCACTCCCCTCCCAGAGCCGGGAACAGAACCCAGGAGTCCTGGCTCCCAGCCTGCCCTGCTCTAACATTCCCAGAGCCAGGGGTGATCATACCAAGACCCCCCCCCCCCAAGGACGTTAATTAGCTAACAAGTGCGAGTATCGATGAACAGCAGCAAGGTTTGGTACAACCGGAAATAGATGGGGAATTGGCTTGGCCAGATTTCATTGGCACAAGCTGAGCAGAAAACAACCCAAAACAAAACATCAACGGAGGTGAATTAAACTGAGGCAGGTGATAATCCCACCGGACACTGGGAAAGCAGGAGCTGAGCTCTTCGATACTGGTGCCTTAAAGGGATGGTCCTATTTTGGGGCTTCCACGCGAAAGGGGCCTGCATTTGGAGGCTGGGTCTCATGTGTAAAGCTTGCAGTAGATTTAAATGCCCGAGGACCGATTGTCCAATGTGCACCATGACACAGCCAGAGGAGGGACGATATGAGCAAGGCAGGTGTATTTGAATGTTGGCCCTCGTGTACACTTGTTGTAAACCTGTTGTAAGCCTATAATAAACATGTTTGTAAACCAATAGTATACCTGCTGTGAACCCACAGTGCCCCTGTTTTAAACCCGTTGTAAACCCACCATGAAGCTGTTGCAAACCTATCGTAAACATATAAGTCTGAAGTGAACCTGTTGTAAACCCATGGTAAAGTCACTGCTAGCCTGTAGTAGCCATATAGAAAACCTGTTGTAAGACTATAGAAAATATGTTTGTAAACCAATAGTAAACTTGTTGTAAACATCTGGTACATCCGTAGTGAACCTGTTCTAAACCCACAGCAAACTCAGTGTAAGCCTATAGTAAACATATAGCAACCCTGTTGTAAGTCTATAGTAAACATGTTTGTAAAACAACAGTAAACCTGTTGTAAACCCATAGTGAACTTGTTGTAAACCCATGTTTGTAAACTAATAGCAAACTTGCTGTAAACCTATAATAAACATGTTTGTAAACTAATAGTAAAGCCATAGTGAACCTGTTGTAAGTCTCTAGTGAACCTGTTGTAAACCCATTGTAAGCCTACAGTAAAATGTAGTCATAATGTACTACATTAATGTTCAGTAAAATGTACAGTAATAGTAAATCTGTTGTAAATTCTCCGTAACCTGTTGTAACCCTATATTAGACCTATCATAAGACCACAACAAATCTATAGTAAATTTGTCATGAACCTGTAGTAAACCCAAAGTATACCTGTGTGAAACCCATAGTAAATACCCATAGTAAGCCTATAATAAACACATTGTGTAAAGCTGTAAGTGAACCTGGAGCCAATCAGTAGTAAAGCTATTATGACTAGATTTACAACAGGATTACACACGAAGCCCAGTTTTAAAATATGGCACCCTACCATAACATCCAAACATGTGAAGCTAAGTGTAACCATGGAGTGAATCTGTTGTAAACCATTAGTAAACATATAGGAATCAAATGTCCAATAGGGTTACACATTAAGCTTAATTTTCAAAGGTGGCACTGTGCTATAGCATCCAAGTATATAAGTATATTATAAACCCTTAGTAAACACAGCTACAATCGTTTCACACAGGAGACTTGCGAGATCCAAAGGTGGAAATCTTTAGGATGCCTCCTCTACAGATTTACAAGAGATTTACATGAGGCCTAGCTAGACGTCCACCTGTGCAAAGCTATGGTAGCCCTAAAGTAAACCTGTTGTAAGCTATTAGTAAGCAGATTTACAATAGGTTTACACACAAGACCCAGTTTTCAAATGTGGCAGCACAACATAATGTGTAAACCTACTGCAGTCCTATTGTAACCCCACAGTAACCCTATGGTAACTCCATAGTAAACCTATAGTAACCCTATAGTAGACTTCTCACCAGCTTCTCGACACAACGCAAACCTCACGGTTCACACAGCGGATCAGAAACAGAAGGTTTTCTCGAAGATGTTTCAACAGGAACAGCTCTGAAAGAGGAAACAGGCTCACAGGCAACCCCACACACGCATTCTCCAGAGGCGCCTCACCCACACGTTCCCACTCGCTCAGGACGGGAGATGGGACGGCTGCCCGCCGGCTAGGCCAGGATGTGGGGGAGGAGGGGGCATCAGGAGGTCTTCATGCCGACGACCACGTCCACCTCCTCTTCCGTCTGCAGGGTGTGCCACTGGGCGATGGGGCGCCGGGGATTGGCCAGCATGTCAGACCAGTGACGCAGCTCCGTGCCGGTGGCGTTGCAGCCCACGAAGACCTTTCCAATGGCCTCGTTCTTCCCCAGCTTGTCGTAATCCAGGACGGTGAGAACAACCTGGACTTTCTGCCGGGGGAGGAGAGGCGCCATGGTGAACTCACCTACCGCGGTGCCCCAGCTGGGGATCAGTCAGGGCTGTGAACTTCCCCAGCAGCAGTGCCACAAGCCAGGGATTTCCCGTGCCGTGCTGCGAGCTTCCCTGCAGCAGTGCTCCCAGCTGGGGATCCCCCCCAGTGCTGTGATCTTCCCCCACAGCAGTAATATCCACGTCAAGCAGGTGAGAGAAGGGGGCGCCGGCTCCCATCTAGGAGGCGCCGGCTCCCATCCGGCCCCAGACCGGGGACTGCCTGGCTCAAGGGGGTGGGGAATGGGGCACGGGGCCATTGCCCTCTAGGGGGCGCCGGCTCCCGTCCAGCCCCAGAGCGGGGACTGGCTGGCTCAGAGTTGGGGGGTGGGGGGAACTCACCTGGATCTGTTCAAAGGGAACCTCGAAGCTGAAGGATTCATTATAATAGGGGTTCAGAGTGTTTTTCTTAATGGTCGTTTTCTTCTTCTTCAGCCGCTTTCCCCCCTGCATCAGGTGGATTTTCACGTAGGGATCTGGGGAGGGGGGGGAGAGACAGTTCAGAACAGAGACCCCAGGCCCCTCCTGGGCCTGATGAGCAACCCTCTGCCCTGCCCCCGAGCTGGGCCACAATTCCTGGCTCCCGCAGGTTCAAGCACCCCACTAAGTTTGCTGAGCCCCGAGGCCAGAGTGTGAATAGAGCTCGACCCCCTGGACATCCAGGCGTGAGCCTGATTCACTGGGGGCAAAGATGGGGCCTTGGCCGGGGCACTACTGCGGGGAAGCTCACAGCGCCGGGGTCTCCAGCTGAGGCACTGCTGGGAGGAAGTTCGCAGTGCTGGGGTTTCCAGATGAGGCACTGCTGGGGGAAAGCTCGCAGTGCCAGGGTCCCCGGCTGA